GGAGCCCAGAGGCTGTGCTTCCCAGCCAGGCCACATGCACTGCGCACATCACTCTCTTGCCTCTGTCTCAGCTAGGTCCCCCCCTCCCTCTGCACTATGACTAGAATGGAGCTGTGTAAATATGGGTGGCATTAGTGCACACTCCACCGCCAGTGGAGATCCTCTGATATAAAAACAAGATGGCACAATGAACTGCAGAGTCCTGCCTATGGTCTCTGGGTTTATGGGAAGGGCATTTTGCAGGCTAACTGGGTGTTAAGGATACGCTTTGGCTATCTCCCCTGGCAGGGTCAGTTGGAGGGAGAGCTAATCACTCTGTAAACAGAGAGAAGAGAGATGCTTATACTTAATAAGCCATTGCAAATGGAAAAAGCTAGCTCCTACCCACCGTGATTCTCTCTAGAAACAAATGGCTTGGATCCAAGCACTACAAAGCCCTTTCCGAAGGCTGAGAGGTCTCCAGGTCCCAGCACCCCCAAACGTAACCCTTCTGTGTTGTTCTCTTTCTTGTGGAAGTAGCTTTAACAAGGGAAGAGGCAATGACTGTATGCGCGTGTATATCACAGTCATGATTATTCCTTTTGTCTTAAGTGATGGCACTCCTGATGTGCAGTTCACCCTTCTCCCTCAGGGGCAGAGGCAGCAATTACAGGGGAGGGCCAGACTGAGGAGCTGGGTGCTGCTTCTGCAACACCCTGTCAGAGGGTGTTCCCAATCCCCTTCCTCCAAGCCCCCTGAACCCTGAAGAGCGAAAGCAGCACAGAGCTCTAGCGGTTCAGCAAGTGGCAAAGCTGGCCTGGTGGCAGAAGGGAGGTTGAGGTCTCTGCCAAGGCTTGCTGCTCTGGTTTCTCTCATCTCTGGCCTGTGCCAACCATCCTGTCAGATGAAAGAAACAGTGTGGTTCAATGCGCCAAGTCAAAGCTCAGGCTGGGAGCCGCAGCTACGACACTGTCTCCACAGTCGTTTACATTTATTATTCTGTGCCCACTCTGGATACTTTCAGTTAAAATGTGGGAAATAAAAACACAAACCTGTCTCCCCAGGCTATAAAAAGGAATGATGAATATAAAAAAGGGGAAAAAAGGATCATAGAGCATTTTGTAGCTATACTACACACAAATCCTAAGTAAGCCTGGTGTGGGGTAATGGCAAATACAACCATGTGAGGTGGTAGAGGGGCACTTTGTCCCTGAGAGAACTCCAAAACCAGGGAATTCCAGGCGTAGGATGACAGCCTTCCTGCTTGCACAGTTGCTATTACTCGGCCCTTTTCTAGGAAAAAGGACTTCAAAAATTTCTACCAATCACTCACATGGCCAGTGTCTAGGGCACTAGCATTTCTTTCCATTTCAATTTGAATACAGCAAGGAATCCAGGAAGAAGACAAGGAACTTTTTTTTCTGACTTCTCCACTTAAGAGAGGGTGAATCTCTGGTCTCTTTCTAGAAACAAAGAAAGGAAGATCACTCACTAATAATACAGCCCTTCGACCTTCCAGCTTCTGGTTAGAACGAGGGGCCTAAACATAATCATCCAATAGTGTTTGTTCTGCGTGCCCCCTATCTTTGTCATTTCTCTTCTTCCTGTTTCTAAAGCTAGATTCAAACGTTTAAAAAAGTCCAGGCATGGTGTCTCATGCCTGCAATCCCAGCACTTTGGGAGGCTGAGGAGGGTGGATCACCTGAGATCAGGAGTTCCAGACCAGCCTGGCCAGTATGGTGAAACCTCGTCTCTACTAAAAATACAAAAACTTAACTGGGCATGGTGGGGCACACCTGTAGTCCCAGCTACTTGGGAGGCTGAGGCAGGAGAATCACTTGAACCCAGGAGACGAAGGTTGCAGTGAGCTGGAGTTTGTGCCACTGCACTCCGGCCTGGGTGACAGAGCAAGACTCTGTCTCAAAGAAACAAAAAACACAACAAAGCAAAACAAAAGTTAAAAGAGATTTAAAATAAGTATTGGGATACTTCCATTCTGCTAAAACTTATAGCTAATTTGCCTAGTCTTATTTCATTGTATTTGTATATTTACAGCTAGTGCTCAACTTACGACCACAATTGGTTCCGACAGACCGGTCGTAACACGATTTGGTCGTAAGTTGAGTAGGCTATATGTACAGTACTGTGAAATGATGTTATAAAAATCTTTAAGTCATATTTTATCATAATTTTCTTTCATTGTCATATATCATAATTTTCTTTGTTCATTTTATGCCATTTGTATCATCTCTACACCATTTTGTTTCTTATTTTTACATTCGTCAGGTTTAAGTAAAACACTGCATTACCAGTACAACTGGTTTAATATTTGCAAAACATACAAAATTACAAAATACAGGTGCATACAAAAATACGAAATACAGGTGTAAAAAATACCATAGGAAACATTTTCCCAATTGCAAAACATATCAAAATATATAAACATGTACGAAACATTTTATTGGTTGCTGGTGCTTGGTCGTTGATGTCGTCATCTGAGGCAGCAGTTGGGGTTACCGGAGTTGGTTTTTTCATAAACATGGTGAGCTTTGTCTGAATTGCATGTTTCTTTTTTCTTTATAAATTTCATGATACGGACGAAACAGATCGTGCGCCATCCGTTCAATCCTTGCAAATTGTTCGATGTTTGGGTCCATTGCTTCGAAATGTATAAGAAGTTTATTCAGTAAAGATAAACCGTCCGATAATCCCTTAGTGGTGAACTTTCTTTCTGGCTCCTCCTCTTCTTTCTCTGCTTCTCTTCTTTCTTCTTCTGCCACTCTTTCTTCTTCCAGTTCGATTAGCTCTTCATTTGTAAGTTCTCCGGATTCTTTGTCTAGTAACTCTTCGACATCTTCCATTTCACACTCCAAAGAAAGGTCTTTAGCGAGTTTTACTATTTTTTTCCTGAATAGTTGCAAGTTCATGTTCACTGTCAAATCCGTCAAAACCATTAACATAGCGCTTAACACAATTTTTCCAGATGCCATTCATGCACTTTGGCGTCACAGCCTCCCAGGCGGTAGCGATATTCTTGATACACATCAAAATGTTGTAGTGTTTCCAAAAATCTACAGCGGAGCAGTCATGGCTAGCAATTGTGGTCATAAAGTCGAATGGTCATAAGTTGCATAGGTCGTAAGTCGATCAACACCTGTACTCTTTAAAGAAATGTTTCAAAACCACGACGAGCTATCACTTCACACCAACTGTTACTAAAGAAACAAAAAATAACAAGTGTTGATGTGTTGGTGAGAATCTGGAGGAATGAAACCTCCTGTGCATAGCTGGTGGGGATGAAAAATGGTGCTGCTTCTGGGGAAAACTATGGAAGTTCCTCAAAAAACAATAAATAAAATTACCTTTTGATTCAGCAATTCTATTTCTGGGTATATGCTGAATAGAATGGAAAGCAAGAACTTCAGGAGATAGTTACATCCCCATGTTCACAGCAGCTTCATTCACAATGGCTAACAAGTGGAAGTAACCCAAATGTCCGTGGACAAATGAATGGGTAAACCAAATATAGTGTGTATACACAATTGGCTCTTATTCAGCCTTAGAAGGGAAAGAAATTCTGCTGCATGCTACAATGTGGATGAACCTTGAAGATGTTAAGTGAAATAAGCCAGTCACAAAAGGATATTGTGTGATTCTACTAATATGAGCTCCCTAGAGTAGTCAGATTCATAGAGACAGAAAGCAGAATGGTGGTTACCAAAGGCAGGGGGAGGGGAAAATGGGAATTATAATTATTACTTAATGAATAGCGAGTTTCAGATCTGTAAGATAGAAAAGTTCGGGAGATGGATGGTAGTGATGGTCGCACGACAATGTAAATGTACTTAATGCCACTGAACTATGCACATAAAATGGTAAAAATGATAAAGTATATGTCATATATATTTTACTACTTTAAAAAAAGTGTTTTGAACATCGGACATTATGTTCTACCTCCATAACATTTGTGATGGAGGAAGAGCAGGTATTCTAATCTGCCCTCAACACAGGAAGGCAGGCAGAAGGCCTCAGTGCTCTAAAAGCTTTGAGCCTGGCCTGGTGAGGTCCAACATCTGCTGCTGGAATCACCCACCTGTTCAGCTACCTCCGGATGCCTCACCCTTTGCTAGGAGGCATAAAGATATGTCCACAACACTGTTCAACTTCAGGGCTAATGGCAGCTGTGGGGTCCAAGTAGAGAGGGTTTGGGGCTTACTGGCACCTCTCCTTCCCTCTGCTTTCACATCTGGCCAGGGACACTCCCCTTCTGCTAGGTTCCCAGACTCCACCGAGGCCCCCTGACTCGACAGGAGGGCATTGGTCCCAATTACCTCCCTCGACCACTGGACCACTGGCCCTCGCAGAATCCTGGCGGTGGCTGGGAACCCTGGCGGAGAGGCCTGTGCCTCCTGAAGCTTCAGACCTCTTTGGATGGGTGAGTCCCTCCGGTGCCTCTGTCCTGTGTCCAGCTTCCTTTGTCCTCTCCAGAGGTCCCTCCTGGGCCTCACCGCTGCTCAGGCTCCTCCAAACAGCAGCTCCCAATTCCCAGGACAGCTCTTCAAGACACAACCCCTTTCTCCCAGGAGACCCGCAGGTTTTAGCTCTCCTGGGGCCACTGCTGGACCAAGTCCTCAGTTGCTTCCTTGCCATTATCCTCTTTAAGCTCCCTCTCCCTCCTCTGGAAGCCCCTCTGGCTTCAGACTCCTTAATTGCGTGGCTGTTCCTTAACAAAAGCAGGTGCGCCTGCCCCGGGCCTCTTCGGACTTTCCATCACAGGCCAAAGGAAAACCAGACTTGGAAAAACTTGCAGGACTCAGGGGCCTTATTAAGACAGGCGCAAAACGATCCCTCTTCTTCTGTGCACCTTAGGGAACGCAGAAGGGAGGTAAGGCCGGGCAGGGGAAGTTCCCAGAGCGGGCAGTCAGGGTTGCCCCCAGGCCCTGGGCAAGGAGGTTTCCGGAGGCTCCGAAGTTCTCCAACATGTATGTATGTTTTTGGTGGTGGTAATTGGGAGGCAGGGGGTCAAGACCAGGAGTGCAGAGAGTGGGAGAGAAGACCCCCTCCGCCCATCCTGGGCGCCAGGTTGGTCCTAACCTCCACCCAGTGTCAACTTTTTGCTGCTCCCGTTAGATGGCGCCCAATACTTTCTAACCACTTGTGAAAATGCTCCTGGCCCGGAACAAAAAGAACCGTGGGGTGTGAGTGTGAGTGTGTGTGCGCGTGTGAGTGCGAGTGCGCGCGCGGGGCCGGGCACAGGGCACGGGCGTCGCCTGGCACTACGCGTGGCCCCGTCGCGGGTCGGCTTGGCCCAGGGCAGGGGCGCGCTGGCGGGAGGAGCTGCGCGGCCGGCGGAGAACTTTCTTCGTTTTCCCTTCGCTCTCCCTCTTGGGCTCGCGCCTAGGCCCTGGCCACTCTCCCGGAGAGAAGCCGAGAGAGCCGGCCGCGGCCTCAAGCAGCCAGCGCTGGCTCCAAATGACCGCGGGGCCACAGTGCGCGAGAGGAAAGGGGTCCGGAACTTGCGGGATGGAGAGCTGGGACGCACATGACAGCCCCTTTCTCCGCCCTGACTTACGGCCCCAGCGCTCACAGCCGCTGCTCTCTTTTTAAGAGAATGGGGCAGGTGCAGGTTTGGTTGCTGCTGTTTTAGCCGCTCCAAGGAAATTGTTTGGTGTAAGATTGATTTCCTAAGCGAATGCGTGCACGTTTCCAGCAACACAGGGCAACCTTTCTCGCCCCCAAAGCCGGTGAAATTAAACAGACTTCCTTATGAAAAGCCCCTTGGGGACCCTAGGGCGTTAGATGCGACAACTAATTTTAAAATAACTGTTTAACGGGTGGTTAGGGAGGGCGCTTTCTCTCCACTACCAAGTTCACCTCTTCTTCCACCCCCTCTAAAACAAGTGACTTGACGATAGGTGATCCCGTCCCCTAGTCCTCTCCTTAATGCCAGTCTGGAAGCGCACTGTCTTGGAGAAGGGATGCGTCTCCTCGCCCTCGAGAACCAGCGCGGAGACCTTCTTTTGTGCCTCCGCTTGGCTGTGAACTTTCCCGCGCGGTAGGTTCTCCTTTAAGAAAGTAGCGTCCCTATGAATATTTAATACTGTGCGCGGGCCGGCAGGGCGGAGGGGAGCCCACGGCCAGGGTTTCCGCGCGCGCAGAGACCCTGGCGCAGAGCGAGCGCTTCCCCACTAGCCTGGCCGCCGCGGGAACTCGGGGACTAGGAGGGCGGAGGTTAGCGGGAGGAAAGGGCCGGCAGAAGGGGGGCTGGGGACGGGAGCCCGGCTCGGGGCCGTCGCGTTCATTTCCATAAGAAAGCTGAAATCGCAGTTGGAAGCAGGATTTCTCGCCCCTGCAGCCCTTCCCCCATACCCGGTGTACTGCAAGAAGCTGGCTCCGGAGCTCAGAGCCCGAAGTGTGTGCTCTGGTCTTTGATGATGTTGATAAAATGTGGTTTCAAATGTTGTCCCGAAGAGGCCGGTTTCCTGTCTGTGTGTGGAATGGAAGTACCGCGCCGGGTGAGTACAGAGCGCGGGGAAGCGGACAGAAGGCGCAGGGCGGAGGAGAGGGAGGGCGCAGCCGGCGGGTGCGGGGCAGCCCTGCAGAGGAAGTTCTCCGGGGGGTTTTGAAAGGGGGAGCCAGGCTGAAGTCCAGTTTCCCGAGCACAGAAGATTGTGTGTGTGCGTGTGTGTGTCTCAGAGAGAGTGTGTGTTTGCTTTGGGGAGTGGGGAGCGAGATGAGGGAAGAGGTCACGAAAGCCCCAGAACCCAGGAAGCCCGCGCGTGGGACGGCCTGGCAGATCTCGCTACCTCCTTCTTCAAAGAGCGGGGGAAACTTCCGCTGGCCGTCGCTGACCCTCTTCCTGCGAAGGAATAAAAGTGAACTTGCCCAGATACTGGATTCCACTGGCGATTCAGTTGTTCAGTTCTTTCTGCGTTCGCATTGGGCATTGAGTTTCTTTTTGACTTGCAGTGTGAACAGTAGCCATGTGACCTCAATTCTATATCACACACACACACACACCCACCCCTACCTCCTAGGTACTTTATGATCCCATCTGGAAGAATTAAAATCCAGATCTGTAATGTTTATTCTTAGATAGTTTACCAAAAGCAGGGAGAAAATGTGTGAGACACATGTCTGCAAATATAACAAAAGTACTTTCCCTTCTGCTTGAAAAGTTGCCTGCAAATGGCTGGCTTCCGTTTACTGACTGCACCACCTGTACTTCTCCAGGAAGCTAAATGGAGTCAGGAATAAAGCACCAATCAGATCAAGCAATTAAATACCAATTATGACTATTAATGACTTTATTACTAATGACTGGAGTAGAGGACTCCAAATCCAATTGAGGTAATCAAACTGTTTTAAAATTCTGCTACCTAACATTTTTACTGCACTCCTTCCCCAAAATAGGAGGTTAAAGTAACGGAGGTTAGGTTTTTCAAGAGTTCTCTAGGAGGTATTTATGGCCAATGTTGAATTTATTTCTCTCAGTAAAGTTTATTGCAACTGCTGGTAAATAATGGAGTCTTCCTTTCTGGTTCTGTCAAGTTATGCAAAGTGTAATTGATGATGGTGGTTACACGATATATGGTACTTAGTTTGGATGCAGAATCGGGAAGGAGCAGGGGTGCTTTCTCTCTTCAATTTCTCTGATAATGCAGCAGACCCTGGAAGATTTTAAGGAACAAGTGTTTTAATTCTTCAGATGAAGTAATGGCTATTGGGATGGTTGGAAGGTGAGGAAATGTAGAATGGGGAACCCAAACAGCAAAGCGAAAGAAGGAATTTGGCCTAGGTTTTGAATTTTATTTTTGCTCATAGATTGAAATGGCTTTAGCATGTCATAAGCTACGTGACTGAAAAGAAAAGGTTACTGAGAGCAGTATATTGGTGTAAAGGCTACTGTGTGGCTGGTTTTATTACTGAAGATGATTTGCCAGCCCTCCTCGCCTCTTGATTGACACCCCTTCTTATCCCAAATGGAAGTCCCTGCTCATTCTGGGATGGGAGGAGGAGGCCTGGAGGGAGGAAGGGAATACATTTCTGCTGGAGACCATGAGAAGAAAGGAGGAGGGAGTTAGCAGGGATTCTTTAGTCACTGTGTAGCAGGCAGGCTAGGCAGCTGGGCACTTGGAGGAGCCAGCAGTTCATCTTGATATAGGTCATCTCAGCTCATTGTCCCATAGTTCAGCCCTTCAGGACACAGAGAGTGTTTGGAGCAATGAACTTCAAGTCCCTGGCTTGGGATGTTTCCCCATCACCTCCCTCCTAGGTGGAAGCCTACAGCAGCAGCCGCCCAGCATCTGGTTCTGATGTGTTTACTAGGCTGGTATGGAAATGCCCAGGCTGCATGGTAGAAACCCGAGCTGCTAGTGACAAGCACACTGCTCTCCTAAGCAGCGAAAAGTTTTGATACTTTTTGAGCACTGGGTGGCCTCTTCTCTTGATGTGAAGCACATGATCCCCCCCTCCCCATTTCTATTTGTCAGAGTTAATTGCCCTGCAGTGGGGCAGCTTACACCTCAGGCAGTGCCAAGAAATACAGCAGGGAATCCTGCACAGGTAACAGGATGGCATGGTATTACCTTAGACACCTAGGAGTTCAAAAAGCTCAGTGGAATGAAATGGGCCTGGGGCATTCTCCCTTTGGTGCCTCCCTAGGGACAAGCCCCTTTGGTCTGGCCCAGACTGTGGGCAGCCTATGTTTGATGACCCTGAGTCCTGAAAGTGAAGTTAGTCACTTTTGTAACTGGACAGTCGACCCCAGAGGCAAATCTAAAGAGGAGAGCTTCAGGTATCCACACAATTTCATTTCTGTTCCAGGGCACCACGAGGCACCCTGAGAACTCAGAGGACCCAGAGGCTCCCCTCAAACAAATTCCCTGCTGACCCTGGGTACCCCTTGAAAGAGGAGCAAGAGGCTGCCACAAGAGTCGGCTTATAACTCCCAGCAAAGACTCCCAGCAAATGAGTTCTGTTTGGGCTCTGCCTACCACTAAGCCTGGTTGTGGGGGAGGCAGGGCCCCTGAACAGGGCAAGGATAATCAGTTGTTCCCCTTTCTGGGGTCAGAGGCAAAGAAGCCTGAAGGGCTGGTGGTGGCGCTGGCTCTGGGTTTATTGACTCTGTGATCCTATCCAGCTGTCCTGCGGGGAGTTCCAGAGCGCTCCCAAAGTGCATGGGGAAACTGCAGAAGCAGGACTGGGGCACAGTACCAGAAGCTATTTGTCTCTTAGAACCTGGCGCCCCCTCCACTTACCTTACAGGAGACCCACATCACTCAGGTCTCAGGACACCTGGTGGGAGAGATTGGTGAGAGTTGAAGGCAGATTTCCTCTACTTACAACTTGTTTGAAAATGGACATAAAGAGGAGAACAGACACTCCATCGCCCATACAGGGCCTCCATTGTGTCAGAAAACCTATCCCCTCCTAGGGCACCCTTGACACTCCCCTAGGTGGGCCTACATATTATTCAGGACCTGTCCCCTGTACCCAAATAAATATAAATGAGTTCATTTATTTAAAAGAAATATTACCAGGCTTATAAGAGCCACGCTAGTGAAAGAAAAAAAAAAAGAAAAGAAAAGAGAAGAATTTTTTTTTTTAAAAAAAGTAAAAAAGAAAAGAAACATTACAGCTTTAAACTTTTCCCAGCCAGAATCCACCTAATTGCATCAAGATCTCTTGCCAGGAGCCATAACCCCTTCCCCACCTGTTTTCCCTTCTTTTTTTTTGTGGCTTAAAATTGCATTTTAGGAGGGTTGATATAATGTTGTTCATGTCAGCAAGTCTCCCTGCCCCACCCTCACCACACCACCCTATATGGAATTATAGTTGGAAACCACACACACACATAGAAAATCTTTTAAGATTTTTTTCTGCTATTCTTCCTGACTAGAAGAGTTGACAAGACATAGACACATTAAGTTGCATAAAATACAGTAGCGTGATCAGCCTAAATGCATCTCATTTGCACTGTTTGTAGCCAGGGGTGGGGGCTTGTGTCACTCATTGCCTCCCCCTCCTCCTCCCAGGGTAGATCAGCCCGCTGGAATTTCAGAGCAGGCCCCAAGGCAGCAGCCATTTGGGAGGTGGAAGCCCCAGCCCACCCCAGGCCAGGGGTGGTGGGAGGGTGGTTAGGGAATGTGTCTGCAGGTCTGGCCTGAGGGCTTGAACCAGCTTTGGCAGACCTGGGCTCTGGGAGGCTTGGCGGGTGGGTGCCCGCAGCTGGAAGCTGGAGGTCTGCAGCGATGCTTCTGAGCTTCTCTTGAGTTGAGTTCAAGAAAGGGGACACCAAGAAGTAGGGGAACAGTCACTGACTATATTTTATATCCAAGCCTGCCCTTTCCCAGAGTTGTGTTCTCACTATCCTCTTTGCCGGTGGACGGGAAACACTTCTGCCTAATGGGTTTCTGCACCTGCTCCTAGCCCTGAACTCGGGCCCTGAGCTTCTCACTGCCGCCTGCTCTGCGCTGAGCCCCACTCCTGAGCCCGGGAGGTGCCGGAGCAGCGCCTCTCCCACCACTCCGAGAAGCCCATGGGAGCTGCGCCGGAGCCTTCAAAACCCCGTAGGGGCGTGGGGGTGAAGTTGGGGATCATTCGGGTGATTTTTTTCTTACTATTTCCCAATCCCTCTCCCGCGTTGATGTCAACTCTCCCAGTCTCCGGGTGTTGGGGCGCCAATCTTCTCCCTCCAATTCCTACCCACCAGCTGGAGGTCGGGTCCCAGGGTTGCCCCAGGGTTCAATGGCGGCGGGGGGGCGCCGGGTAGAGGGGCGGGAGGACCTGGATCTTCGGGGACTAAAGGGGACCTCAGCAGGGTCGGAGTGCATAGCCTTGGCCGTTGGGAGATACTCCACTAGCCACTGTGAGTGCTCAACAGCGTGTCGTGGGGGCGTCCCTTCTGCAGCTCGGGTGACTCAGACGCCCCGCCAGCCCCGCCAGCTCCCCGCTTCTCGAACGCTCTTCTGCTTGCCCAGCGGGGAGGCTTCAGGGCCTGCCTCCTCAGGCCAGATTGTAGCCCGCGACCTTCCCGGGCCAACCAAGGGCGAGGCATATTGCCCAACAAGGCCACCGCCTGACTGAGCCTCCAGGGGAACAGCCATTGCCAAAGCCCCGCGGGCCCAGGCGCGGCCACCTACCAGTACCCGCGCAGGCCTGTGGGAGCTCACGGGCAGAGGCCGAGAGGCTGGACTGCCAGCCCCACACCGCTGACAGCCGGGCACATCTGCGGAGCCCGGGGGAACAATCAGCGGGCTCGGCGTCCCGGGAGCTGGGGACACGCCTGCAAGGTGTGTGATTCTTTAAAGATCCTTGTACTAGTTTTGCAGGAAGCCTTTGTTACAGCTTTGTCAGCCTGCGCGCCTTCAGCAGCTCCTCCCGGGCCCCTCGGTTCCCTCCCGGCTCGCCCCCGCGGAGAGGACCTGGCACAGGGGATCTGCCCAGAATCAACTGCCCTGTTCCACCTCCCCTCCTGCAAGATTCTCGTCCGTTGGCTACAGTCTCCCCTCCGTGCTTGGGGCAGATAAACACAGTTCGTCCCGCCTGCAGGATTGGGGCGATGCTGTCCTGGAAGAACAGGCTTTCTGAATGTGACCTCGGGTTGCTGCAGCGGCGCCATACTGCTACTGATGATCGAGGGTAGCTCGCCTGCCACCGTAGGGCGACTGCGGTGGGCACAGCAGGGCGCAAAGAGGAGGGGGTAACCTGCCTGCCCAGGCTAAATATTTGAGGATTCTGACAAAAAGAACTGGTTGAGGATGACGCAGTTATGAACTAACCTGGCTCCTACTGCCCCACAGGGCAACCAGTCCCAGTAGCCTTGGGTACCACTGCCCCCACCATATCACCGTTGTAAAGGATGGACTCCTGCTGAGCCAAGGTGCAGCTCTAGGCAGGATCCCTGAAGGATGCTCTGGCACACAGAGGGTGGAGGTAGGACTTTACATGCACACAAGCTTACATGTGCCCTGTCATATATGGTTACACTTTTCCCCATTCCCCCACAGTCTTCCTATTTAACTTGTCTTCATTCCTCCTTTCTAGGGCTTTCCGCCTGCACACAGTCATTTGGAGAAAATCAAGTGAGCGCACCTCTCCCCACAGAGGATTCTGTGTGTTATGTAACAGACTCACACTGGGATTCCTCAAGTTACCATTTTGCCCCAAATCAGCCAGGACTTGGTTTTCTGGCGGGGGTGTCAGGATGATGCAAATGGAGGTGGAAGCTTCATTCCCTGGGGGCTTTTATTCCCCTTCTTGAAGCCCCAGTTCAAGGCCCAGGAACAAAGGGGAAAGGTAACTGATCTCTCTTTTGGTCTTCCTCTCCCCTCACTTCCAGCCCCTCAGTTACAGACCCTCCTCTTTGATAAACAGAGGAAAGCCAGTGGGATCAGGTACATATATAAATACTGCTGACCTCGGCCTCCCCTTCTCACCGAAAAGCGGAAGCCCAGCCCGTTTCAGGTGCAGGCTGCTCCCTGCTTTGAGTGTCCACCACTTCTACTCCCCCAGGCTGCATGAGACTCAAGGCTACTCACTTAACATGCCTCTCTTGTTAAAAAACATTCAGGACAACTGTTAAATAGTTCTTGGAAGAGTTTAAGACCTTCTTTCAGGAGCAAAACGTTTTTAAAGCCTTGCTTGGCAGAAATCTTTAAGGCGTACAAAGTAGAATCAGTAGGCTCGCCTGAGCGATTTTGAAATTTGAAAGATTTCTCCCCATGAAATGTTAATTTAAAATAGTTTGTAGATGTTATTTTGTTGTACGATGGCTTTTTCACTATTGTCACCTAAAGATTCTCAAGACCAAGCTACTAAGACATTTCTTTTGATTTGGTTAGTTTCTGGGTGATACTATACTTTCTGATTAGACCTATTTAATTTATTTTTTTAACTCTGCAGGACAGTTTTCAACCTTGAAAATGTAAGTGAAACACAGACTCACCCTCCCTCTGAGACCCTGTTAGGTGCAGAAAGGAACAAATCTAGCTAGCCTCACTCACACCTCGAAGTTTCCCTGTCTGAACCTGGGTACAGTGAGCATGGTGGGTTTTGACACCTTTTATTTTATTGCTGGCTCAAGGAAAATTCTTTGAAATGAATATCTATTCTATTTCAGTGTGCAGTGTTCCAGCCAACTAAATGGGCCTGCCTTATGCCAAGAGGCAGTCCTGGAGGACAGAGCTAATATGTGATCTCCCAGGAAGCTCATCAGAACACCTCTTGTCCCTTTTCTTAAAAAAAAAAAAAAAATTAAAAAGTTTTTGGTTCCCTCTCAGTGTCTGTTCCATTATTTTGTAGCTACAATAATGAAACATAGGCAGCAGTGATCATTCTTTTTGTCTTTTGTAACCATGCCTAGTGTTGGGAACTCACGAAGTCCCAGACATACCTCGGATGTATTTTGTGCTTTTCACATTTATTCATTGCTGACTGGGCCACACAGATCATTCACACTTGATTCTGCCTTCTTCTGGACAACTCTCCCTCAAACAACACCCCTCTATGAACTTGCAGGGAAAGGGGATTCGCTTAGAGAAAACTTCCTGAATTAAAAAATACCAGACTCAGTCTCACCAGGTAATTGATCCTGGTCATGCCAGTGACTAGGAAGTCATCACCGAACACTCTCAGGAAGGAGGCAGGCCAGTGGGCACATTTCCACGGACTTTCTAAAACTGTGGCAACTGAGCACATTTTACAGATACAATTTTGGTATATTCCCATCCAGCTTAAGGCATTTAAAATGCAATTTTGTTCACACTCACGTGCGTGCACACATATGCACACGCACGTGTCAACTAGGGTGATATTACCAGCCCATTTCCACTGGGCAATTCTGGTGACAGCAACTACAACCAACAGACTTCCTTTCTGAAGAGTAAAAAAGAAAACAAAAACCTCTCCATCTATTTTAAAAGGTTATTTTATACTGTTTAACATTCTTTCCAGACAGTAATTGGCTGGGCGCTTCTGCTCCCTTTTCAAAGAACAGGTAAACTAACTGCTCTCCTACCCCTCCCCAGAACCAAGCCATTTTTAAAAGCCAAAGTTTCCGTTTCCAAAGGAAGGAAAAGGAACAAATTCCATTAATGAATTGTATACATGGAATGTGGCTTGTCTCGGACATTTGTATTTGTAAATAAATGGCTCTCTGTTTATTATGTATGTTTTACTGGGATAAAAAAACGAACTTTAATGCCTCTGAGCATGCTATAACACAGCAAATATTTCCACTTATGGTTTGTTTAAGTTCCACTGTTTTCTGGTACTCACTAGAAAGAAATCGGTTTAAATAGAGTCAGTTGTGGGGTTTAAACTTCCAGGCTCACTTGGGGAGGCGGCACCTCTATGTTTACCTTAGTACTGGGGGGAGGAAGGATGGCTCCCTGGGAATGTTATGGGGATTAATCTGGAGTTTCGCTTTTGTCCCTGGATCTTTCTAACGCTGACCACGGCCTCAGTTTGCAGCTTCAGAAGCGTAGCCGGCGTGCGATCTCCTTGGTGGGTGGACTGGGCACAGTCCCCTGCCTTGCCCTGCTGCCGGCGCCCGCACACCGAGGTTTCAGTCAGTATCGTCCCGTAGGCCCAGGCCTGCAATCCTCCGGCGGAGATGGGATCTGGGGTCGGGGGGGGGGGTGGGGTGACTGTCACCGGGCCAGGCACAGGCAGTCTACCCTGGTGCCTGTAGGGCTCTAGAGTTTCCCACACGCGGGAAGCGGAGGCGTGGGCCAAGCGCCGGGAGCCACCCAAGAACTCCACCGCCCAGTGCGGCGAGTAGGGCCTGGCGGCGCGAAACTTCCACAAAGCCGCCTACGGCCTATCGCCTTGCCTCCGTTCCACAGTCCCAGCTGCCTGGACCTCGGTGTCTTCCCAAACAATGAGACCTGCCAGTGCACTAGGCCGTTCTGCTCTGACTTCTGCCCGCACACTGGGACCGAGCGAAAGATTACGGGTTGGAACCAGCCAGTGCATCTCCTTCCACGCGCCGCATTCTTCGGGAAGACAAACAGAGTACGTACGCCCTCCAGGTCAATTTCAGGCCCTGGTCTGGGCCACAGTCCTGGAAGACCCAAGGGGTCACGGGTCCAGATCCGTCTTTACTTTGTCCTCTGCTCCAGGGCTCTAGGGCCCTGGGCAGCAGAGATGGGGATTTCAGAGAGAGGCCGAGACAGCCAGGCCTTGAACTCAGCCCCTCTGAACTCCACAGTCCTCAGCGGGGGCGGCAACTCAATTCTCCCGGGAGGAGGCTGCACCCCTAGAACGGAAAATCCGCAAACATCGCGCAGAGACCCACAACATTTCTAACCTTTCTTTCCACAAGCTCCCCAGAAAGTTATCGACAGAACCTCTGGAACCTGAGCCGACTCCAGTCTCCAGCAAATTCCTCAACCTTCCAAGGAAACTTTGAGAAGTTTCCCTTTCCCTCGCTCCTCGCTCCTCACGGACTTTCTCTAGGCCCCAAGTTTGCTCATTACTCTGCTGACTGGCCTTTAGTCTCTAGGGCTCCCCAGGCCTGAGTGTTTCCCGAATAATAATAATAATAATAATAATTGTTATTATGAGGCCAGGGAAGAATAGGATCAGAGGGTAGGAGGGACTGAGGGGGGGAGTGGAAATGTTTATAAAAAGGTTTATTTAAACCTGTGTTTCAAAAAGTTCAGTTGACAATTATCAGTAACCCCGATAGACAACTCCATTAAAAAAGAAGAATTTACTACTGCTCTTGAAAGCCGTTATTTTTTACATCGCTTTTTAGGAAGATAGATGAACAAAACATCGCGTTTCAAGCCATTTTGATCTGTAATTGAAAGGCAGGATCGGTTTGTATTCTCCTACGGCTTTTACAGAAGTTGCAGTGATCCAAAGTCGGGTTGCTGTGTCAGAGTGGCATTTTTATTAATGAGAATACAAAAAGCTTGCATATTCTTAGCCCTGCTTGAATTTAGTTGCTAAGCAACCGGTGTATGGTAATTCATCCGCGAAATTTAAATCTTTGAGAAAGGATCGTGCGTTTTGCTGAATGGTCGCCACGAGGAAAACAACTTGTGGGACCCGCAGCAGCTGCCACAGTCTGGCCGCCCGGCCGCCCCACCGCGACTGCCACCGCCCTACCTCTGCGCCCAGCCCTGCCCTCCCTCCCGGAGAGAAGCGAGCTTTGGACTACCGAATGCCCCGGGTCTCCCTCCCCCTCCGCCTCTTCTGATCCCGGGTTTTCACCGGAGGCAGGCCTTACACCTGACCCAGTCGCCTGCATCCCTAGGGCTTCGGGGTCCAGACTGCGAATTTCCGCATTCTCCTCCCCTCACGCGCACCCACAAGCACACGGCACGCGCACACACACTAGCGCACACAACGTGCCGCCACGAGAATGCCTGTTGCCCTCTTCCCAGACCCCTCTGAGGTCACTTCCAGAGCCGACTCTTCCTTGAGGAAGACCGGTCTCATCAAGAACGCAGCCCACAGCCCGCCAGAAGGCCAGGCGGCCGCCTCTGGCCGGCAGTGACATCATAGGCTCCTGCTCGCCAAGCTCGCGCCCACATTTTAGGATACAGGAACAAACACGGATGTGAAATCAAGAATGAAAGAGAGAGTAATCTAATTAATAGGCCATGAGCCAGGCTAACAAAATCAAAGAATCTGATTACACAAGTACCCCTCCTGCTATCTCCGCTGCCCCCACCCCCAGCTCCTCCAGCCTGCGCACTATTTCCTTTCCTAGGCTGCAAAGTTCAGGATGCAAACGCAGAGCCCTCTGCTTTCCTTATTGAAATCAACGTCAAACCTACTGTGAGGATCCCGCACCCAGGAGGTCACATGGGTGACCTTCAGGGCCTCAGACCAGCAGCCCTGTGGAGCTGAGAAGACCAACTGACCTACAGAACTTGGAGAGCCTGAGAGGTTGCCCCACAATTCTCAAATTCATCACTCTGAACAACAACAACAACAACAACACCTGTGCTGATTGCTTATGCTGTTAGTAGCAGGACCAGGATAAACGGCTTCTCCACTCACAGTCATTTTATAGATCATCGAATTTTTTTTTCTTCAATCTAGCACAACTCTTCTTTTTTCATATCACCTTGTTTCTGGGTCACTGATAACCTCAAACTCCCATCTCTTATTTCAACTCCCTTTCCCAACATTGATGTCTGAGCACAGTCAGGTATTAGGTTATCACTGAAACATAGCATCTGCTCTAATCGTTGCAGCCAGCCACGTGCATTTCATGAAAGAAGAAAATTCTTTAATTTTTGTCTTTCTGCCTTAACAAAAACAATCAGGTCCACCTTTTAAATAATTAATTTCAAGTCTGCATCCACTGCCAATTCTTGTTGCATCCATTTTAGAGTTGATTAATTACCCTGGAACTTGGGCAAACTAAACTCCATGTGGAGAGAATGTTTCTTCCTTCAATTTAGTTCTGAAAGCTACAAGTTATTAATGGATCTTACTCAATTTACATACAAATTAGTGCAAATATGCCCATCTCTTAAAGTGCATTTTTGTATAAATATATAAAAGTATCATTTTTGATTTAGCTTAAAGAGGTTGATCATTTATTACAAAAATAAACGAATAAATACAACAATATATTGTTGCTTCCAACAGGATAAATACTTTACAAATATATAATTTAAAAAACAAATTTAATTGTTAAAATTATTTAAAATATTACACTTATCGATAAAACTATCAATAGTATATACTGCATTTAATATTAGAACCAATTATTCTCTGAATGTTGAAAACCATTCATACAAAACAAATTATGAGCATGGTCATGAGCAAACACTGGAGGCTACAGGGCAGCAGAGGGAATTGCTAAAGATCAATAATGAACAGTTCTATTTTGGAACAAAGAAGTAGTCCTTGGCTAAGCACAAAAAAAAAAAAAAAAAAAAAAAAAAAAAAAAAAAAAAAAAAAAAAAAGGCAGAGCAACAACAGCAAAGTGACTATTTTAAATACACCTTGAATGATTTATCTCACAGACTTGCCAGGGGAAGATGTTTGTGGGAGTGAGGTGACCCTACGGAGGCTTGGACAACTGATCAAGAGCCACAGGAGACTGTAAACTGTAAATGGGCCTAGTTTGGGATTAGCCAGGCTGATGGAACAGAACTTTGTCACTTTCCTTTGGGTTGGAAGGGGAGGGGGGATTGGATTGAAATGGAGGAAACAAATGGGCACTTTACGAAGCACAAGACACTTGCGCTGCAAAGGAACACAATGACCAAATTCATTAAAAGGATCTGGTGATATATAACAATATTTTC